CTACAAGACACTCATGAGAGAAATTGAAGATGATACCAATAAATGGAAACACATCCTGTGCTCATGGATAGGAAAAATTAATATTGTCAAAATGGCCATCCTGCCTAAAGCAATCTAAAGATTCAAGGCAATCCTTATCTAAATACCAACAGCATTCATCAATGAACTAGAGCAAACAGTTCTAAAATTCATATGGAACCACAAAGATCCCAAATAGCCAAAGCAATCCTGAGAACGAAGAATAAAGTGGGTTGAATTATGCTCCCTGACTTCAAGCTCTACTACAAAGCCATAGTAATGAAGACAATTTGGAACTGGCACAAGAACAGAATAATATACCAGTGGAACAGACTAGAGAACCCAGATAATATCCCAAGAATATATGGTCAATTAATATACGATAAAGGACCTATGGTCATATAATGGGGAAATGACAGCCTCTTCAACAACTGGTGTTGGCAAAACTGGACAGCTATATGCAAGATAATGAAACTGGATTATTGTCTATCCCCACACACAAAAGTAAACTCAAAATGGATCAAAGACCTGAATGTAAGTCATGAAACCATAAAACTCTAAGAACATGTAGGCAAAAATCTCCTGAGTATGAACATGAGCAACTTCTTCCTGAATGCATCTCCTTGAGCAGGGGAAACAAAAGCAAAAATTAACAAATCAGACTACATCAAACTAAAAAGCCTCTCTACAGAAAATGACCCCACAACAGAACAAAAAGGCATCCTACGGTATGGGAGAATATATTTGTAAACGACATATCCTACAAGGGGTTAACATCCGATCTATATAAAAAACACACGTCCCAACATCCAAAAAGCAAACAACCTGATTAAAAAATGGGCAGGTTATATGAAGAAACAATTCTCCAAAGAAGAAATTCAGAAGGCCAACAGACACATGAAAAGATGCTTTACATCACTAATTATCAGGGAAATGCAAATTAAAACCACAATGAGCTATCACCTCACACCAGTTAGGATGGCCAGCATTAAAAAGTCTAAGAACAACAAATGCTGGCAAGGATGCAGAGAAAGGGGAACCCTCCTACACTGCTGATGGGAATGTAAGCTAGTTCAACCATTGTGGAAAGCAATATGGAGGTTCCTCAAAAAACTAAAAGTAGAAATACCATTTGACCCAGGAATCCCACTCCTTGGAATTTACCCAAAGAATACAACTTCTCAGATTCAAAAAGACATATGCACCCCTATGTTTATTGCAGCACTATTTACAATAGCCAAGATATGGAAGCAACCTAAGTGTCCATCAGTTGATGAATGGATAAAGATGTGGTACATATACACAATGGAATACTATTTGGCCATAAGAAAGAAACATATCCTATCATTTGCAACAACATGGATGGAGCTAGAGGGTATTATGCTCAGTGAAATAAGCCAGGTGGAGAAAGACAAGCACCAAATGATTTCCTTATTTGTAGAGTATAACAATGAAGCAAAACTGAAGGAACAAAACAGCAACAGACCCACAGACTCCAAGAAGGGACTAATGGTTATGAAAGGGGAGGGGTGTGGGGCGGGTGGGTAGGGAGGGAGAAGGGGATTGAGGGGTATTATGATTGGCACACATGGTGTGGTGGGGATCATGGGGAAGACGGTGTAGCACAGAGAAGGCAAATAGTGATTCTGTGGCATCTTACTATACTGATGGGCAGTGACTGCAATGGGGTATCGGGAGAACACGATAATATGGGTGAATGTAGTAACCATATTGTTTTTTCATATGAAACCTTCATAAGAGTGTATATCAATAATATCTTAAGAAAAAAAAGTATAAATGGTCTTGTGTAAGAAAAATGCCCTGTTTTCTGTATACCAACTAAAGGAAAACAATGTTTCCTTTCTTCCTGACTATTATTTACACTACTTCTGATACCAAATGTGTTTTACCCCACCAAGCAATTCTTAGCAGCCACTGACTTGGTGTCCTACAATTTAACTCAAATCAAACACCATCTACTTGGCGATAAGTTCAGATCCCACAAATTAACAGCTCAGTCCCACAAAACTGCCCCCACTTCAGATGCCAATCTCAAGTCCAAGTGGTCACCTGTGCTTGTGAAGGACCAGCTATAAATCGGGTATCTTGTAACCCCTCCTTAGGTTTGATAACGTGCTAGAACTCACAGATATCAGTAAATACTTACCTTCATTTACCTGTTTATTATAAAATAAAGGATAGGGTAAAAAGATACAGAGAGGCAGCCTGCTGAAGACCCACACAGAGTAAGGTCTGGAAAGATCTTGAGTGCAGGAACTTCTGTCCCCATGGAGTACCACCACCTCAGGCATATTTGCTCACTCACCAGAAACTCTCTGAACCCTATACTTAAGGGATTTTAATGGAGGCTTCACTCTGTAGGCACAATTGATTATTAACTCAATCTCCAGCTAGGGAGGGAGTGGGGCTGTAAATTCCAAACTTTTAATCCTGGTTTGGTCTTTCTTGTGGTCAGCTCCCTGATACTAAGCATTACTCTAAAACTCAAGTTAATCAAGTTAAAATTATATTTTTGAAGAAAGACACAAATGGAACAAAATAGAGTTCAGAAATATCGGGACCAAACAAACATAGCTGATTTATGTATTATGAAGGCTGAAGGGCAATCCAGTAGAAGAAGGACGATCTTTTCAACAGGTGGTACTGGAACAACCAGACATCCACATGCAAACAAAGGAACATCAAACTAAACCATGCACATTAAATAAAAATTAACTCAAAATGAGTTGAGATCTAAATAAACTATAAATTTATAGAAGAGAGCCAAGAAAATATTTATAACTTGAGATCAGAGATGCCCTGAAAACATGAAAGCTGGTAAATTGATAAATTAGTAAACTAGACCTCATCAAAATTAATAACATCTGCTCTGAAAAACACACTCTACACAAAACATATAAAGAACTTTCAAAATTCAATGGTAAGTAAGCCAACAACTGAATTTCTTAAAAATAGGCAAAAACTTTGGGCACTTCACTGGAAAAGATATACAGATGGCAAATAAGCTGGTAAGATGCCCAACATGGTAGACTTTGGGGAATGCAAATTAAACACAGTGAGCTACTGCTATGTACCGACTGATATTGAAAATACCAGTATTTTGCTGCAAGGGTACAGAGCACCTGTCTAACTGAAAAATGTTTAACTTTGATGTGTGGCTCACATTGCTCTGGATTGCAAAGGGATACAGGCACTCCGGAAAACAGTTTCTTTTAAAGAAAGCACTTTCTTAGAGAGTTAAACATACACTTAGCGTATGACCCAGTAATCCTGTGTCTTTTTACCCAAAAGAAATGAAAATCTATGTTTATAGAAGAACTTGCATATGCATGTCTACAGCAGCCCTAATCATATTCAACAAAACCTCGAAACTCAAATGTTCTTGAACAGGTAAATGGATAAACTGTGGGCTATTCATGGCATGGAACACCATGCAGCATGGAAGAGGAACAGCAGCACCTGGATGAATCTCAGAGGCAACATGCTGAGTGAGAAAGGCCAACCTCAAAAGACTGCACATATAGTCTGGTTTACATGGATGACATTCTGGAGAAGGCAAAACTATGAGGACTGATAAACACCAGTGGGTTAGGGGTGAGGGAGCATGTGATAACACCAGAAAGCAGCACCCCTTCCATCTCTGGCCACCCCATTATCAACAGCCCAGCCCAGAGCCCACCCACGACACCCCCAGACCACACCCCTAGGAATACACAGCAGGGAAGATAGTCTTCAACACATGGTGGGAAAGCTGGACAGCTGCATGCAAAAGAATCAAACTGAATCACTGTCTTACACCATTCACAAAGATAAACTCAAAACAGATTCTCCCATATTGGTTGGGAGAAAGAGGAAGAGGAATATAAAATCTGAAATAATTAAATATAAGACCTGAAACAATTGAAAACCTAGAAGAAAGAATAGGCAGTACACTCTTGAGCATCAGCATGAGTGATTTTTTTCTGGATATACTCCCCAGGCAAGGAAAACAAAAGCAAAAAAAAGGGTGGTACTACAAACTTAAAAGATTCTGACAGCAAAGGAAACCATCAACAAAATGAAAAGGCTACCTATGGTACAGGAGAAGATATTTACAAATTACATATCCAATAAGGGGCTAATAACTGAAGTATAAAAAGAACTCACACAACTCAACATCAGAAAAACAAATAGTCCATTTAAAAAATGAGCAGGGCTTACTACACTTATGGACAGTGACTGCAATGAGGTTTGTGGGGGGGACTTGGTGATGGGGGGAGTCTAGTAAACATGTTTCTCATGTAATTGTAGATTAATGATACCAAAATAAAAAAAATGAGCAGGGGACCAGAATAGATATTTCTCCAGAGAAGACATACAAATGCCAACAGGTATATGAAAAGATGCTCCACATCGCTAATCAGCAGGGAAATGCAAATCAAAACCACTGTGAGATACTCTCATCTCACACCTCAGAATGGCCAACATTCAAAGATAAGAAATAATAAGTGCCAGCAAGGGTAGGAGAAAGGAAGCCTACTGCGCTGCTGGTGGGAATGTACATCGGTGCAGCCACTGTGGAAAGCAGTGTGGAGGTTCATCTAAAAACTAAAAACAGAAATGCCATATAGCCCAGTAATTCCACTCATGGTAATTCATCTTAAGAAAATTAAATAACTAATCTGAAAACACGCACACCTATTCATTGGTGCACTATTCACAGCAGCCAAGATATGGAGGCAACCAAAGTGTCCATCAGTAGATGAATGGATAGAGAAGATATGGTACATAGACACGGTGGAATATTACTCGGCCATAAAAAATATTACTCTGCCATTTGCTATTAACATGGATGGAGCTAGAGGGTATTATGCTCAGTGAAATAAGCCAGGCAGAGAAAGACAAGTACCAAATGATTTCACTTATATGTGGATTCTAAAAACAAATCAAACAAAACAGGAATAAACTCATAAACACAGGGAACAGACTGGTGGTTACAACAGGGGGTAGGGATAGGTGAAGGGGGAAAAAAGTAGTGAGAATGAGGTGATGGCTGCATGAGTGTGTACATAGGTCAAAATACACCAAGCAGCATGTTAACACTTGTGCATTTTATTGTATGCACCTCAATAAAAGGAAGAAACTCATAAAACTGTATACCAAAAGAGTATTTTATAGCATGTTGATATAAAAAATATTTTCAATGTGGTAAGTGGTCAGGGAGGTCCTCATCAGGTCCTCATCCCAGGTGGGTGGTGGTGAGGGGAGGCCCCGAGGCCACAGCACACTGGCGATGGAAGCAGCCAGTCCCCTCAGTGACAGTAAGACACCCACTGGCCTTGGGCATCCTGGGCAGTTCCAGAGGCAGTGCAGAGGGGCTCCAAAGCATCTGGCTTGGACAGAGCAGCGTGAGGGGGACTGTGCAGATGAGGCCAGGTCAGGGCGAGGTGGAAATGTGTGCTCAGGTCCTGGTGAGGATGCCAAGGGCCCACTGGAGGGACACTGTGTGCTCTGTTTTTAAGACATCTAAGACCAGCCTTTGCAGGAGCAAAGGCAAAAACAGGAAGCCTGGTTGGGATGCAGTGGATCAGTGCCAGAAGTCTCTTCCTCCCAGTGCCCCTGGCCCGAGGGCCCAAAGCACACCTTTTCATGCCCCCACAGCAGAATCCCAGTGGGCAAAGCTCCGGCTCCACCCCCTGTCTCCAAGTCTGAGGCTGGACACTTCAAATCAGGCATATGCCAAGCATGCGCCACCCACCACCTCAGGCTCCCAAGGCCCCCTGCAGGTCCCACAGCACAGGGAAGCCTGAGGCCTGTGGCCCAGGGCCACACAACCATGGCACCCCATACCCCAGTGACACCCCATGGCAGATGGGGCCCAGGCACCCTGGCAGGCCAGCTCGCTGGGCAGAACCACATTCCCGTCTCCTGCACCTCAGCTTGCCCCACATGCTGCTCCACCACACCTCTGTCTGGGCATGCATGGCATCAGGCATTTCTCTGTTCTGGGGGGAGGTAGTCGAGGCCTAGGTGTAGGAACATGTCTTCCTCTGAAGCCACGTGGAAAAAAAACTTCTTCTGCAAAGGGAGTTGGGTATTAGTGCCTGCGAGGGGTCCTGCCACTGAGGCAGCTCTGGGGAAGGTGTGGGGAACTGCTTCTTCACCCAGGCCTCCTGCCCTGGCCACACACCTGCTCAGGGTCAAACAGCCCATGGCTGCTGCTCAGCCACAGCCCCCTCTCCTTCCAGCTAAAGCAGCGCAGCGCCCACTCGAAATGCTGAGGAAAATGGATGCGTCAGCAGCGCCCAGGCAGGGGCCCAGGCCAGCACAGGAGCACACCACCCGCCTTGGAGCCAGTCCAGCCAAGCAGGGCAAAGGGGAACTGGCTGATGGGGGGTGACCACCAGGTCAACCCGCACAGCCTTCCAGGCAGGGTAGGGTCTCTAGGGACTGCCGACAGCAGCCCCTCGGGGTTGCAGCAGGCAGAAAATGCAGACACTCTTCTCAAAGGCATCCATGGTGTGGTTCTGCCGGTTGAGGCAGCTGGGGTCTCCCGATGGTACAGGACAAGACCCAGGGGGAGAGCAGGCAAGGCAGAGCACTGCCACAGGGGTTGGGGCAGCAGAGCCAGACTCCTGGCTGTCTCTCGGGAGGGGACAGGATGCCCTCGCCTGCTCCTTCAGGTGGTGCATCACGGTTACCAGCAGCCCCACCTTGCAGCCCTCCTCAGGGTGAGTGATGAGGAAGTCCACATCATGGCCCTGCAACTTCCCCCTGAGGGGGGCCAGTATGACTCCTGGGTCCAACATGGGGACACACCCCACAGCCCTTCAGTGGGGAAGGCCCCCCGCAGCTGCTCTGGAGGGGCAGGGCCCAGTGCTGAGCCGGCACATCGGCCCCCTTACCTGTGAAAGCCACTGGTCAGCATTACAGTGGCCCCAGGCAGGGCATGTCCCATGGCGGCCTCCACCACCTGCTGCAGCGCCTCCACATCGGCTGTGAGACCAGGGCCCTCAGGTCCTCATGGTGCTGGAGTCCTACAGGCAGCACGGCTCTCCGGACCCTCTCAGCCCCACCTGCTGCATTTCCCCTCAGCCGGTTTAAGATGTAAGCTTTTATTCTGGAGTAGCTGTAAAATCACATATGGTTGCCGTAACAGAGCTCCCTGCCCTATCCTTGGCTCCCCCGGCGTTTCCACACCAGGACACTGACTGGTGCTGACAGAACACAGACTGTTGCTTCCAACGCCTCAGTTTTCCAATCCATAAAATGGGGCCAGAAAGTGCTAAGAAGCCATGGAGAGAACGATTCTGCCACTTGGGACCACTCACTTAAGCCCAGGCCTGCATCTGTCAGAGGGATCCCACCTAGCCCTGCCACCTGCAGTTAGCAGAGGTTTACATGTGGTGGGACCAGCTCTCAGCAGATGCTGCCCACACCACATCCAGGCAGACGCAGCCAAGCAGGAACCGGCAGCACCGTGCCACACCCCAGAGCTGCCAGATGCGCAGCTCTTCATGTCTCACCTGATGACTACCGGCAGCTCTCCCAGGACCCCAGGTGGCCCTCCGCCCCAGCTCTCAGGAAGGGAAGGTATTGAAAGAGGCAGTGAGCGCTGGGCTGTGGGGCTGCTTCAGCAGGGGGCCTAACCCAGGCCACAATACAGAGCAGAGTATCTACTCAACGCCTGCCACCTGCTGGCTCTACACTGAGGGGCTCTTGGAATCCCACTCCTTAGAGAACATAACTGAGGCTCAGGAAGTTCGGCTTCGGCGCCATGGTCACCTATTTAGTAAATGGCGGAGATGGGACTCATCCAGGACTTACAGACGCTCAAGTTCATGCTCTCCCGCTGAATGGTGCCATGTCCAGCAGCAGACCCGTCCCCAAGCTTCTCCCCACACAGGTCCCCACGCTGACAGCAGGTGAGGGCACCCAGCGCCACACAGGGCACCCCAGGCACACGCTGTTCAGACATGCCCTCCCCTCCCCAGAAGATGAACAAGAGGCCCCACCTGGTACAGGTCCAGGCCCAGGTCCATGGCTAAGCAGGAGGCCCTGGATGTCACAGCTGCTACTGTGAATATCATTCACTGAAAAAAGTGGATCCTGACTCCACGGGGCAGAGACTACAGGAAGCCCACCCAGCGTGTGCCTGACCCTTTGCTGACCCCATTCCCCGCCACCCAAGCAGCCACCAGCTCATGCTCCACAGTGCAGGAAGCACCCAGGCCCAGGCACCGGGGGGCTCACCTTCTCTCTGCTACCAGGTCAGCCTCAGGCACCGCTCTCAGAAGTCACCCAGGGTGCGCAGCCAGTCCTGGTACCACCGATCAGTGGTCTTTACCCCAACCTCGAATATCTGGGTGAAGAGCTGTTTGGAGCACGAGCACAGCACAGTCAGTAGTGAAGCTCCCATGCACGTGGGTGAGGACACATCCCAGGTCAGCCACTGCAGTGTTTCACAGGTGGCCTTGCTAAGTCATCACACAGCCCCACAAGTGCCGTCCCCACATGCATTTTTCGAGCTTGAGCAACCTGCCCAGGGCCACAGAGCAAGCACACAGGCAGGACTCAAACTCCAAGCCTGGCTGGGCAGCTGCCTTCACAGGACATGGCAGCACAAGGCCCCATGTGCTACCCTGCAAGGCTGGGTGGCCTCTCCCAGAATGTGCACAGTTCCAGCTCGTGATTCCAACATCACTACGACAGCATCCCGACAAACAGGATCCAGTCAATGGGAAGCCACACCACTCCCTTTCCCCAGCAGCGGGGACTTGCTACTGTGGTTGTTCTCCTTAAACAAGAGCACAAACAGCAGGCTGTTATTGAGTGGGCTGGAGAGAATGTAGGCCTGAGGCTGGCTGGGGCTCTGCTTCAGGCACAGACACAGCAGACAGGTCAGCACAGATGTCCAGGCCAGGGAAAACTCTGCTGCTGAACTGACCACCTTGGGCAGCTGCCTGCCCTCCAGTGGACCCCCCACAGGGTTGGCCCTGACCCTGGCCCAAGCCCATCATCTGCTTCTTCCCCAACAATAGCTTGTTGGTCACAGGGACCCAGGCAGTGGTGGGGGCTGTAATCTGGGGCAGGGGCACCTCCTACGTACATCGGCTGGCAGAAGCGACCCTTGTGCAGAGAGGAAGAACAGCTAGGGACCCTCGTGTCCACGTGCTTGGCGTCCTGCCATCCAGCTGCAGCCCTGCCCTTTTTGGGCTGCTCTGGCCATCCTTCCTTGATCCCCTGGGCCAAGAGCATGAGCTGGGTCTATCACCCACAGATCCTGACACAGTGCTGGGAACAACCTAGTCTCATTTTTCATAGCAAGAAACTAATTGCTAACCTGTGTCTCTGTCAGCCTGGATGCTTTCTGGGACTCTGGGGTTCCCAGGAGGGGGCTGCATGGGAGGAGGGAAAACCGTGGGGATGGGTGGGGCCCAAAGGCTCTGCCCTCTCGGGGCTCCTCCACTCGCTAAGTCCTGTGTGGACACACACTCCCCTGGTCTCTGTCCACCTAAGCCCCCTCCCTCATTGAAGGCCCACTTTCCACTCCTAACAACATTCCAGGTGACTAGCCCCGGCACAATGACTCCCACTGCCAGGCAGGGAAGGCCCACTTCCCCAACCAGTCATTGGTCTGACAACCTTCAACCACAAAACCAGGGGTCTGAGCAGCACCACCCAGCGTCCACCAGAGCACTGGTGATCCGGCATCACATCAGAAGTGAGTGGGAAGTGGGGGTGTGCTGGGCACACAGGCAGGAAGACACTAGGAAATCTATCCATATACTGACTGTGAAGATGGGGCTGGTGCAGGGGTGAGCAGCCCCACTCCACTGTCCCTTGTGGCTCCCAGGAAGAGGCCGTGTTTTGTTCAGTATGCTCTCTTCAAAGTGCCAGAGCATGTAATATACTCAAGAATATTCCATCAAAGCCCAGTAAAAATGGATGGTACTCAGTGATCTAGGAAATTCTCTGGGCTCAAAACAAGCTTCTCCTTGCCTGTCTCCATTTGGCTGCTCATGCATATCAGATGTCAGCTGCCATCTCCTTGGCAAGACCTTCTCTGACCTCCAGAGGGGCCAGCCACCCCTGCCTGCCTCCCGCACGTGGCATGAACGGCACTGTCATTGTGGGGAGGGCCTCTCTGGGGGCCCATTCTACATGTACCTTCATGGTCTGGTAGCGCTCTGAGAGCAGCACTCTCTCCACCTCCTCACACACCCCATGATAGAGCAGCTCCTGTGGGTGGAGATGAAGCACAGCTCTAAGCCTGATAAGAGAAAGAGTGGTGTGAGCAGAGGACCTAGTAAAACACCACCCCCAACTCAGCGGGGGAATATGCCCAGGGAGGCCTCAAAGCCTGTTGAGCGGAGTGGACATGGGTCATCTGCCTGATGAGTAACAAGTCCCAGGATACATGAATGGCTGTTTTCAAAACATAGATGATGAATGCAAGTTCATGCAAAAGCACAACTGAATTCAAAAGTTTCTGCCAGTGTTAAGTGCACAAAAGGACAATGTAACATTTTGAGTCCTCAAACACTTTGTATTTTAAAAAGAGGTGCCCATACTCAGGGATTTTCTCCTGCCCTTGCCGGGTGGTTTGGTAGGTGCCGACGATGCCAGCTACCAGCCCTGTCCGGCCCCTCTTGGCAGGTGGTGTGGCTCCAATTTGCACACACAGAGCCTGAAGGTAGATGGTGGCTCCTCACCCACCACCTGCATCCACTACCCTATCCTGCTAAGTATGGGGAGCACCCACCTGGATGACCCTGCAGGAGTGTTCTCCCAAGTAGGGCAGCCCCTGCAGCTGGCTCAGGGCTGTGACCGGACTGGGAAGGGCCTTCAGTGCAGAGGTGGCTCTGCAGAAGGAGAGGAGGTGGCCCTCACTGCCTTCAAAGCCTGTGGCCTCCACCAGCAACTCCAGAGCCTCCCGCAGGAAGGGGCCTTGGGTGAGGGGCAGGGTGGACAGGGCACCTACCCCCAACCCTCCAGCTGCCGCCCACATGTCCCCAAGGCTGGGACAGAGCAGAGTAGACCAATCTCAGGGAGGCTGGAAAGTCACAGGTCACTGAGAGGCTGGCGTTATGGTGTGAGAGGGGTGTGGGATGCTGGCAGGCATAGGGCAGCATCCACTTTGGGTTCAGCAGCCCCTTCTTGGGTTCAGCCACCTGAGGATGGGCAACACACAGGCCACCTAGAGGCTACAGGGCTGGTGGGCCAGGCAGCCCCCAGAGCCAAGCCTTTCCTGGGTGTCACCAGGGCTCAGGGGTCAGCAGCAGACTAAGGGTGTGGGCAGAGGCGGCGCTGCCCTGCAGAGCAGGCCCAGAAGCAGTAGTGACGCCACCTGCCAACCTCATGGGGCATTCCTCCTGCAGCTACACACGCTGTGTTGTACCCCCCAAATCCTCTCTATCACATGGCCTAGGAGTGCCTTTGTCCCCCTCCTAGACAGGGACCGAGGCCTCATGCCTCACAGGTAGCCAGGGTTTGAAGGTGGGCAGCCTGGCTCTGAGCCCACCAGTTCTACTCATCAAGGAAGCGTGAGTGTGGAGACAGAGGCCATGAGTCTCACAGAACCCTGAGGACAGCCTCCTGCTGGCCCTTGAGTCCTCACCTGGGGTCACATTTTCATCTGCTTGGTCAGCAAGAAAGGCCTCAAGATGCTACAAATGGACCCCAAGAGAGTTTGCATGAATGGTGACAACAGAAGCTGAGACTGCGTGGCATCCCAGGGTCCCCAGTGGCTTCTGAAGGAGGTGGGCCCTGCTGCCCTGTCCCCTCTCCAGCTGAGCTACAGCCTGCTCCAAAGCTCTGTCCGTGGCCTCTGTATTATCTTCCTCCCGGCTCACCTCCAGACAATGCTGGCCCTCCACAGGCACAGGCCATCCAGTTGCCATGCTCTGCGAACCAGCTTGTGTCCAGCAGTACTGGCCAGGCACAGCCTGGAGGAAGGGCCTCTGCCCTGCACTCCCACCAGCACATGGCCTCTTTTGCAGAAGTCTGCTCCATCACCACGTGGGTCATCTCAGGGCTGGCAGAGGGAGAGGAAGAGGATGAGGCCCAGACCTGTTCCCAGGCCTGCCAATCCTTCCTGCTTGGCTCTGTACCTCCAAGCCTTTGCTCTTACTGTCCCCTCTGCCTGCAGAGAACCTATCCAATACCAGGAAGACTTCCCAGCTCTTCTCCTGGCAGGAAGACACCTCCACCACCCCTGCACCTGCACAGCTGGGGTTCTCTGCTCCAGCTTCTATCACAAGCCCAGCTGATTTTGTGTAAACTTCTCCATCTCCCTCTCCCTCCATTCCAGAGAAAGGAGCTCCTTAGGGTGGCAGGACCAGAGGGTCTTTGGGTGTCTGGAGCCAGATGGCACCTCTGTTCTGCCACACACTGTGTGCCCTTGGGCACTTCCTTCTCTGTACTTCGATTTCTTCCTCTGTAAAGTGGAGATTAATAACTATCCACCTTGCAGGGNCACCTCAGCTTGCCCCACATGCTGCTCCACCACACCTCTGTCTGGGCATGCATGGCATCAGGCATTTCTCTGTTCTGGGGGGAGGTAGTCGAGGCCTAGGTATAGGAACATGTCTTCCTCTGAAGCCACGTGGAAAAAAAACTTCTTCTGCAAAGGGAGTTGGGTATTAGTGCCTGCGAGGGGTCCTGCCACTGAGGCAGCTCTGGGGAAGGTGTGGGGAACTGCTTCTTCACCCAGGCCTCCTGCCCTGGCCACACACCTGCTCAGGGTCAAACAGCCCATGGCTGCTGCTCAGCCACAGCCCCCTCTCCTTCCAGCTAAAGCAGCGCAGCGCCCACTCGAAATGCTGAGGAAAATGGATGCGTCAGCAGCGCCCAGGCAGGGGCCCAGGCCAGCACAGGAGCACACCACCCGCCTTGGAGCCAGTCCAGCCAAGCAGGGCAAAGGGGAACTGGCTGATGGGGGGTGACCACCAGGTCAACCCGCACAGCCTTCCAGGCAGGGTAGGGTCTCTAGGGACTGCCGACAGCAGCCCCTCGGGGTTGCAGCAGGCAGAAAATGCAGACACTCTTCTCAAAGGCATCCATGGTGTGGTTCTGCCGGTTGAGGCAGCTGGGGTCTCCCGATGGTACAGGACAAGACCCAGGGGGAGAGCAGGCAAGGCAGAGCACTGCCACAGGGGTTGGGGCAGCAGAGCCAGACTCCTGGCTGTCTCTCGGGAGGGGACAGGATGCCCTCGCCTGCTCCTTCAGGTGGTGCATCACGGTTACCAGCAGCCCCACCTTGCAGCCCTCCTCAGGGTGAGTGATGAGGAAGTCCACATCATGGCCCTGCAACTTCCCCCTGAGGGGGGCCAGTATGACTCCTGGGTCCAACATGGGGACACACCCCACAGCCCTTCAGTGGGGAAGGCCCCCCGCAGCTGCTCTGGAGGGGCAGGGCCCAGTGCTGAGCCGGCACATCGGCCCCCTTACCTGTGAAAGCCACTGGTCAGCATTACAGTGGCCCCAGGCAGGGCATGTCCCATGGCGGCCTCCACCACCTGCTGCAGCGCCTCCACATCGGCTGTGAGACCAGGGCCCTCAGGTCCTCATGGTGCTGGAGTCCTACAGGCAGCACGGCTCTCCGGACCCTCTCAGCCCCACCTGCTGCATTTCCCCTCAGCCGGTTTAAGATGTAAGCTTTTATTCTGGAGTAGCTGTAAAATCACATATGGTTGCCGTAACAGAGCTCCCTGCCCTATCCTTGGCTCCCCCGGCGTTTCCACACCAGGACACTGACTGGTGCTGACAGAACACAGACTGTTGCTTCCAACGCCTCAGTTTTCCAATCCATAAAATGGGGCCAGAAAGTGCTAAGAAGCCATGGAGAGAACGATTCTGCCACTTGGGACCACTCACTTAAGCCCAGGCCTGCATCTGTCAGAGGGATCCCACCTAGCCCTGCCACCTGCAGTTAGCAGAGGTTTACATGTGGTGGGACCAGCTCTCAGCAGATGCTGCCCACACCACATCCAGGCAGACGCAGCCAAGCAGGAACCGGCAGCACCGTGCCACACCCCAGAGCTGCCAGATGCGCAGCTCTTCATGTCTCACCTGATGACTACCGGCAGCTCTCCCAGGACCCCAGGTGGCCCTCCGCCCCAGCTCTCAGGAAGGGAAGGTATTGAAAGAGGCAGTGAGCGCTGGGCTGTGGGGCTGCTTCAGCAGGGGGCCTAACCCAGGCCACAATACAGAGCAGAGTATCTACTCAACGCCTGCCACCTGCTGGCTCTACACTGAGGGGCTCTTGGAATCCCACTCCTTAGAGAACATAACTGAGGCTCAGGAAGTTCGGCTTCGGCGCCATGGTCACCTATTTAGTAAATGGCGGAGATGGGACTCATCCAGGACTTACAGACGCTCAAGTTCATGCTCTCCCGCTGAATGGTGCCATGTCCAGCAGCAGACCCGTCCCCAAGCTTCTCCCCACACAGGTCCCCACGCTGACAGCAGGTGAGGGCACCCAGCGCCACACAGGGCACCCCAGGCACACGCTGTTCAGACATGCCCTCCCCTCCCCAGAAGATGAACAAGAGGCCCCACCTGGTACAGGTCCAGGCCCAGGTCCATGGCTAAGCAGGAGGCCCTGGATGTCACAGCTGCTACTGTGAATATCATTCACTGAAAAAAGTGGATCCTGACTCCACGGGGCAGAGACTACAGGAAGCCCACCCAGCGTGTGCCTGACCCTTTGCTGACCCCATTCCCCGCCACCCAAGCAGCCACCAGCTCATGCTCCACAGTGCAGGAAGCACCCAGGCCCAGGCACCGGGGGGCTCACCTTCTCTCTGCTACCAGGTCAGCCTCAGGCACCGCTCTCAGAAGTCACCCAGGGTGCGCAGCCAGTCCTGGTACCACCGATCAGTGGTCTTTACCCCAACCTCGAATATCTGGGTGAAGAGCTGTTTGGAGCACGAGCACAGCACAGTCAGTAGTGAAGCTCCCATGCACGTGGGTGAGGACACATCCCAGGTCAGCCACTGCAGTGTTTCACAGGTGGCCTTGCTAAGTCATCACACAGCCCCACAAGTGCCGTCCCCACATGCATTTTTCGAGCTTGAGCAACCTGCCCAGGGCCACAGAGCAAGCACACAGGCAGGACTCAAACTCCAAGCCTGGCTGGGCAGCTGCCTTCACAGGACATGGCAGCACAAGGAGCCATGTGCTACCCTGCAAGGCTGGGTGGCCTCTCCCAGAATGTGCACAGTTCCAGCTCGTGATTCCAACATCACTACGACAGCATCCCGACAAACAGGATCCAGTCAATGGGAAGCCACACCACTCCCTTTCCCCAGCAGCGGGGACTTGCTACTGTGGTTGTTCTCCTTAAACAAGAGCACAAACAGCAGGCTGTTATTGAGTGGGCTGGAGAGAATGTAGGCCTGAGGCTGGCTGGGGCTCTGCTTCAGGCACAGACACAGCAGACAGGTCAGCACAGATGTCCAGGCCAGGGAAAACTCTGCTGCTGAACTGACCACCTTGGGCAGCTGCCTGCCCTCCAGTGGACCCCCCACAGGGTTGGCCCTGACCCTGGCCCAAGCCCATCATCTGCTTCTTCCCCAACAATAGCTTGTTGGTCACAGGGACCCAGGCAGTGGTGGGGGCTGTAATCTGGGGCAGGGGCACCTCCTACGTACATCGGCTGGCAGAAGCGACCCTTGTGCAGAGAGGAAGAACAGCTAGGGACCCTCGTGTCCACGTGCTTGGCGTCCTGCCATCCAGCTGCAGCCCTGCCCTTTTTGGGCTGCTCTGGCCATCCTTCCTTGATCCCCTGGGCCAAGAGCATGAGCTGGGTCTATCACCCACAGATCCTGACACAGTGCTGGGAACAACCTAGTCTCATTTTTCATAGCAAGAAACTAATTGCTAACCTGTGTCTCTGTCAGCCTGGATGCTTTCTGGGACTCTGGGGTTCCCAGGAGGGGGCTGCATGGGAGGAGGGAAAACCGTGGGGATGGGTGGGGCCCAAAGGCTCTGCCCTCTCGGGGCTCCTCCACTCGCTAAGTCCTGTGTGGACACACACTCCCCTGGTCTCTGTCCACCTAAGCCCCCTCCCTCATTGAAGGCCCACTTTCCACTCCTAACAACATTCCAGGTGACTAGCCCCGGCACAATGACTCCCACTGCCAGGCAGGGAAGGCCCACTTCCCCAACCAGTCATTGGTCTGACAACCTTCAACCACAAAACCAGGGGTCTGAGCAGCACCACCCAGCGTCCACCAGAGCACTGGTGATCCGGCATCACATCAGAAGTGAGTGGGAAGTGGGGGTGTGCTGGGCACACAGGCAGGAAGACACTAGGAAATCTATCCATATACTGACTGTGAAGATGGGGCTGGTGCAGGGGTGAGCAGCCCCACTCCACTGTCCCTTGTGGCTCCCAGGAAGAGGCCGTGTTTTGTTCAGTATGCTCTCTTCAAAGTGCCAGAGCATGTAATATACTCAAGAATATTCCATCAAAGCCCAGTAAAAATGGATGGTACTCAGTGATCTAGGAAATTCTCTGGGCTCAAAACAAGCTTCTCCTTGCCTGTCTCCATTTGGCTGCTCATGCATATCAGATGTCAGCTGCCATCTCCTTGGCAAGACCTTCTCTGACCTCCAGAGGGGCCAGCCACCCCTGCCTGCCTCCCGCACGTGGCATGAACGGCACTGTCATTGTGGGGAGGGCCTCTCTGGGGGCCCATTCTACATGTACCTTCATGGTCTGGTAGCGCTCTGAGAGCAGCACTCTCTCCACCTCCTCACACACCCCATGATAGAGCAGCTCCTGTGGGTGGAGATGAAGCACAGCTCTAAGCCTGATAAGAGAAAGAGTGGTGTGAGCAGAGGACCTAGTAAAACACCACCCCCAACTCAGCGGGGGAATATGCCCAGGGAGGCCTCAAAGCCTGTTGAGCGGAGTGGACATGGGTCATCTGCCTGATGAGTAACAAGTCCCAGGATACATGAATGGCTGTTTTCAAAACATAGATGATGAATGCAAGTTCATGCAAAAGCACAACTGAATTCAAAAGTTTCTGCCAGTGTTAAGTGCACAAAAGGACAATGTAACATTTTGAGTCCTCAAACACTTTGTATTTTAAAAAGAGGTGCCCATACTCAGGGATTTTCTCCTGCCCTTGCCGGGTGGTTTGGTAGGTGCCGACGATGCCAGCTACCAGCCCTGTCCGGCCCCTCTTGGCAGGTGGTGTGGCTCCAATTTGCACACACAGAGCCTGAAGGTAGATGGTGGCTCCTCACCCACCACCTGCATCCACTACCCTATCCTGCTAAGTATGGGGAGCACCCACCTGGATGACCCTGCAGGAGTGTTCTCCCAAGTAGGGCAGCCCCTGCAGCTGGCTCAGGGCTGTGACCGGACTGGGAAGGGCCTTCAGTGCAGAGGTGGCTCTGCAGAAGGAGAGGAGGTGGCCCTCACTGCCTTCAAAGCCTGTGGCCTCCACCAGCAACTCCAGAGCCTCCCGCAGGAAGGGGCCTTGGGTGAGGGGCAGGGTGGACAGGGCACCTACCCCCAACCCTCCAGCTGCCGCCCACATGTCCCCAAGGCTGGGACAGAGCAGAGTAGACCAATCTCAGGGAGGCTGGAAAGTCACAGGTCACTGAGAGGCTGGCGTTATGGTGTGAGAGGGGTGTGGGATGCTGGCAGGCATAGGGCAGCATCCACTTTGGGTTCAGCAGCCCCTTCTTGGGTTCAGCCACCTGAGGATGGGCAACACACAGGCCACCTAGAGGCTACAGGGCTGGTGGGCCAGGCAGCCCCCAGAGCCAAGCCTTTCCTGGGTGTCACCAGGGCTCAGGGGTCAGCAGCAGACTAAGGGTGTGGGCAGAGGCGGCGCTGCCCTGCAGAGCAGGCCCAGAAGCAGTAGTGACGCCACCTGCCAACCTCATGGGGCATTCCTCCTGCAGCTACACACGCTGTGTTGTACCCCCCAAATCCTCTCCATCACATGGCCTAGGAGTGCCTTTGTCCCCCTCCTAGACAGGGACCGAGGCCTCATGCCTCACAGGTAGCCAGGGTTTGAAGGTGGGCAGCCTGGCTCTGAGCCCACCAGTTCTACTCATCAAGGAAGCATGAGTGTGGAGACAGAGGCCATGAGTCTCACAGAACCCTGAGGACAGCCTCCTGCTGGCCCTTGAGTCCTCACCTGGGGTCACATTTTCATCTGCTTGGTCAGCAAGAAAGGCCTCAAGATGCTACAAATGGACCCCAAGAGAGTTTGCATGAATGGTGACAACAGAAGCTGAGACTGCGTGGCATCCCAGGGTCCCCAGTGGCTTCTGAAGGAGGTGGGCCCTGCTGCCCTGTCCCCTCTCCAGCTGAGCTACAGCCTGCTCCAAAGCTCTGTCCGTGGCCTCTGTATTATCTTCCTCCCGGCTCACCTCCAGACAATGCTGGCCCTCCACAGGCACAGGCCATCCAGTTGCCATGCTCTGCGAACCAGCTTGTGTCCAGCAGTACTGGCCAGGCACAGCCTGGAGGAAGGGCCTCTGCCCTGCACTCCCACCAGCACATGGCCTCTTTTGCAGAAGTCTGCTCCATCACCACGTGGGTCATCTCAGGGCTGGCAGAGGGAGAGGAAGAGGATGAGGCCCAGACCTGTTCCCAGGCCTGCCAATCCTTCCTGCTTGGCTCTGTACCTCCAAGCCTTTGCTCTTACTGTCCCCTCTGCCTGCAGAGAACCTATCCAATACCAGGAAGACTTCCCAGCTCTTCTCCTGGCAGGAAGACACCTCCACCACCCCTGCACCTGCACAGCTGGGGTTCTCTGCTCCAGCTTCTATCACAAGCCCAGCTGATTTTGTGTAAACTTCTCCATCTCCCTCTCCCTCCATTCCAGAGAAAGGAGCTCCTTAGGGTAGCAGGACCAGAGGGTCTTTGGGTGTCTGGAGCCAGATGGCACCTCTGTTCTGCCACACACTGTGTGCCCTTGGGCACTTCCTTCTCTGTACTTCGATTTCTTCCTCTGTAAAGTGGAGATTAATAACTATCCACCTTGCAGGGCTGTTGTAAAGATTAAATGAACCTTATTACACAATGCCCAGCATCCACTCAGCTGCTATCATCGTCCTTTCCCAACAGGGTCTGCCACAGTCTTAAGAAGAGTAAAGTTAAAAAACAAAAGCTGCAGATGGAGGGGCCCCTGGCTCTCAAACCCATGAGAACCCCACTTCCCTAATCTCGGCAGTGCCTCTGTAGTCAACGCCTTCCTTACCTTTTAGGGCCTCGCTCAAGTCAGTTTCTCAGCCCTGAGGAGAGCAGCCAGTGTGGCCGATGGGGCAAGAACTCAGCTGACGCAGAGGGGTCTAACCAAGGCTCTTCACAGAACACTCCTACCCTAATTCTTAGCACCAAAAGAGGAAGTTGAGAAAAAAGCAGCAAGACCACGAAGCGCTAGGGCTTGGGCGCCCTCCACCCTCGGTCGGCTGTGCGCGCGTCGGTTCGTGCCGCAGCAGCCTCCCGGCAAATAGGTGCGCTGTGGGCGCGGCGCCGGCTGCGAAGTTCCGGGCCCCGGCCCGCCGTGCTCTGGCCGGGAGGGCACGCGCGGAGGTCTGGAGACACGGCTGCAGGCGCCCCTCGCCGCCCCGTGAGGAGCAGGTTCCCGCGCACCTGTAGGGGTCCAGGGCGCGGAAGCCCTTGGAGAACGCCAGGCGCGCGAGGAAGGCCCGGCGCCTGCGGCCCATGCGCGGTTCGGCCAGATAAATGGCGACGTCGGGGAAGCGCGCCGCGCAGCAGGAGGCGCCTCGGGGTCACTCGACCTGCGCTCGCCGCCGTTTGGGGAGCATCGGGGCGCCAGCAGGAGGCGGCGGGCGACGGCAAGGAAAGCGGCGCCCGGCTCCCCTCGCGCGACAGGTCCCACCCCACGCAAATGAGGCCTCTGCGGAGGTCCCGGACTCCCGCAGGATTGGTGAACCGGCCGCTCGTCTCCACAGGTCCCGCCTCCATGCAAGTAGAAACGGAGGACACGCCTCCCACCTAAGGGGCTCTCGCGGAAAGCCGGCTCCAGCTCCTGGGACCACCTGTGAGCCAGAGACACCCCCCAACCCCGGCGCGGGGGCGGGACCAGGGAGGCAGTTGGAAGGAGGTAGTCGGGGCGTCCTCGGCCCGGGCGGGAGCGAGGATGGGGGCGGAGGAGAGGTGGTGGCCCGTCCTCCGCGATTGCGAGAGGGTCTCCGCCCGCCCCACGTTCCCCGCCCCGACCGCCCACCGTACCCGGCACGCGCACTCACAGTCCAATCGCCGAGATGGAGGTGAGGACCGGCACCCTCGGTGGGCAGCGGGCGAGCTGGGGTCGTGCTGGCGGGGCAGCCGCTCCAACCCCAAAGAAGGGTTTTTGGCGGGATGGCGTTGGGATGTCGGCCCGCCCCTTGGAAAAGTAGAAGTTGGCTCCCACCTTCTCTTCTAACTGCGAAATAAAATCCAGGCAGATTAAAGAAACAAAACGTACTGGGAAGTCGAGTGTTTTTATAGTCCAGTATCACAACCTGGAGACACTAAAGGAAAAGAATGATTAAAGTCGACTTAATACAAATGTAACTTGAATTTAAACATTAAAATTGAAAGGCAAACCGAGGAGAAATTGTGACACACATTTTGAAATTGTCTGATTCCTGTAATTATGAAATTGCCCACACACAAAAAGACAATGAAATGGAAAAATTGGCGAGAACACCAGTAGGAAATTGATGGAGGACATACTCCCCGGTAACCATAGCTCAGATTGCCCCACCTGCCCAGTCCTTATAGAAGTGCAAATTTAAATGAGCATATCTTCAATTGCCGCATTATTTTACAGATTGAAGGTGTGAGGAATTGGCAGTTTGTAAGAGGGGCAGGCATTTTGGAAGGCAATTTGGCGATGACACGCAACAAAATTAAAACAAATCACTCCCAGCAATCCCTTTTCCTAGGTTGGGATTGGTTGACTGGGTCAGGCTGGGAAAGCTGATATCTTGGCTACAGGGAGTGTTCCTGTGTGTCTTTCAGGTACCAAGTTTTGGAATCTGTGACCTCAGTGTAGCCCATGACCAGACTGACAGATGGGAGGCCAGCCGTGACCCTGTATTCACCTCTCTCCCAACCTTCCCTGGGGCTCTGCACACAGTGGACACAGGGCTAGTGGAGACAGGAACCTCAGCCCAGGCTCCCTCTTTGGGGCCAGGCTTTGGTCCCTCTCCTCTCGCCACCCATCTCCCCTCCTGCCAGCAGGGAAGGGGAAGCTCCCAGGGCCTCTGTAAGGTGTCAGAGCCTAGTTTCCCCTCTGTGGGTCCTGCTTTTCCAGAGAGCAGCCATCTCTCTTCTGAAACTATCTCCTTTTCTCTAGTGTCCTCTGTCTCCCACCAGGGCACCAAGCTCAACCCAGGGGGAGCCAGAGGCAGCTTTTAATGACCCATCACACCTGAATACTTACAACACTGGGCAGCTTGCAAAAATGAGGAACACGGACAGGGTCTTCCACAGGCCCTACCAGGTTTTGTGAGGGGGCAGGGTGGCCCTCTGTGCCCACCAAGTGGACGTCTGGGCACAGATGGGCAACATAGTGTTGATGGGGGGTGTGCCCCTCTCCTCCCCTCCCTTCCTGGACACCAGGTCCCTGGCCAGCTGGGAAGCTCGGGCCTCAGCTCTCCAGTTCTAATAAGCCTGGCCCAGGGTTCCCAGACACCTGAGTCCCCAGCCTCCTGCTCCTCATGCTCATCACCCCCGGAAAGTCCGAGCGGCTGCACAGATGACCCACTGGCAGCTTGTCCCACTGCCCTGTAGGCTGCAATCTTTCTGCTGTTCCATGCAGTCGCTGTCTCACACTGTGCTTTGGACTAGTTTTACCCAGATAAATGAGCTTGCATTTTCCCAAGATGAGTCTCGTCTAGCTATTTCCTGTTCCTGCTCCCAACTCTACCCTGAGGCCCACCCCTCCTGTCAGTCCCTGCCTCAGTGGCCCCTTGCCAGCAGCATTCCAGAGAGCCCATGGTCAGACTGCTGATGTTGCTGGGCCTGCGCTCCTGTAGGCTGTTGGCCCTCTCCTGAGCTGTCTGCACATCACTGTGGGGATGAGTTGCCCAGTGTATCAGTCAGCCTGATGTGACAAAACACCACAGAGTGGGTGGTGAGTGGCAGTCCCAGGGACTGGAGTTGTGACGTCAGGTGCCAGCCGATTTGGTGTGGGTCAGGGTCTCTCCGGGTTGCAGACTTCTCGCTATGCCCTCATGTGTCGGTAGGCATTGGATACTCCTCTTTTACGAGGGCACCAATCTTGTCCAGGAGGGCTCCAACCTCATGACCCCAATAGCTTGGGTATCAGGATTCCAGTGTGTGAATTCTGAGAGGGCACAAAAAAACTCTGTACAAGAGGTGAGAGAGTCAGAGGCCTGCGTTGGGATCTGTACAAAAGGTGAGGGACCACTCCTCCCACCTGGGGAACTGACCTGAGAATGATGGAGAAGAGATGTATCTTTAAAATGAAGGCTCACTGGGTTCACCTCCAGCCAGCCCTGGCTCAACATGGTTGGCAATGTGTGGGGGTGGGAGGTGTGGGGAGGAAGGGGCGACTGGAGTCCAGAAAGCTTATGTGAAGAGGGGTGTTTGCTGACCCAGACCCCATCACAAATGGACAAACTTGTCTACTGTCCAGCACACATTTTTCCATTTGTACTAGGGCAGAATATGACATTATTATATTCTTGAATGAACAGACTGTCCCTTATTTAGGTATTTTCCCATTTACTACTGTTATCATCAAAATAAAACACACAAGGAATTCCAATTTATTGACTTCAAGGAGAGCCCTGTGCTAGAAGGTTTCACCAAATGCCCGTGGTTGTCATGTGTGACCGCTCATGGGGTGAAGGGTCTTGAAAGGTCAGACGGGCTGCCAGAGCATGGGACAGGTCAAGGTCAGAGACTGTCCTTCACCAAAGGAAGGCAGGGGTGAGGCAGCAGCTCAGAAGGGTGTCTGTGGTCAGGCCCCCATGCAGATGGGAAGGAAGGATTCTGAGGATAAACATAGTGGACATCCTAATGAGCACAATGTTTAGTGATGTTTGTGCAGGACCTGGCATAGGACACGTGTTGTACCAATTACTTGATATACTTTTATTTCTTCTCAATTGTATTGAATTGGTACTACTGTCATTGTCCCTGTTTTACAGATGGAGAAACTGAGGCTTAGAGCTAGAGAACGGTTTCCAAGGTTTCGGTGCACAGAGAGGCACAGCAATGATTTAAAAACTGGCTGTTTGACTTCTGAGCCATTGTCTCAAAAAAACTGTGCACCAAGCTCTGATCTAAGTGTGGGGTGCAGCTTCAGAAGAGTCAGAAATCTCTGCCTTAATTGCATTTCTGAGGCAGCAAGACAGACAACAGTTAAGTAAGGAAAACACATGGTGTGCCAGATGGTGCAGCGGGCATGGCAAGCTTGGCAGCACTAAGTCCTCCCCCTGCACCCAGTTTCAAGTGGCTCTGAAGCTCAGAGATGGGTTCCAGTTCCATCTCTAATTCTGGGCTGGCCCTGGAACTTGTTCTGATCAACAGAATGCAGCAAAAGTGACACTGTGGGACCTATGGGTTTAGCCTGAGGGCTTACAGCTTCCATCTCTGCTGGCTTGGAAGGCCCCCTGGGTGCTCACCAGAACTGCTGACTCCAAACGTGTGGCCTTTCCACATGAAGTGGCTCAACCTGATGCTCTGGCCAGAGTTGGAGCAGGCCCCACAGGTTCAGGGCTCACCCCAGCCTTCAGGTGGTAACCTGAAGTCTAGCCACCTAACCTGCCACTATCAACTGGGGTTCCCACAAACCCACCCTTGAGTTTGATAGTTTGTTAGAATGCTCACAGGACTCAGGAAACAGTTTGCCTACTAGCTCACCAGCTACTACAAAGGATGTTAAAGGATATGAATGTACAGCTAGACGAAGAGGTACACAGGGTAAGGTCTGTGGGTCATAAGTTCAGGAGCTTCTTCTCTTTGGAGTTGGGGTGCACCACGGCAGGTGGATGTGCTCACCCACAGGAAGCTCTCTGAACCCTGTACTTTCTGTGGGATTTTCATGGAGCCTTCATCACATAGCCATGATGGATCTTTAACTCAATCAGCCCCTCTTCCCTCCCCAGAGGATGGGCGTGGGGCTGTAAGTTCTAAGCTCCTAAGCATGGCTTTATCTTTCTGGTAACCAGCCCCCATCCTGAAAACTCATCATGATCATTATGTCATTTGATTTCTGTGTTTTCTGTTTGTGTTTGTATTTCTTTCATTTTTTCTGTTTTTCTATAATGAGCAAACACCACTTGTGTAATAAAGAACTTAGAAATAGGAAGAGTTCTCAGCCAGCGGGGAGGAGTCATGGCTTTGGCCCAGTCAGGGTGCTGAGCAAGGGGCTCCACCTGTGGTGCAGGAGTAGGATAGAGGGGAGTTGGGGACAGGCGAAGGCTCTGGCCACTCTAAGACCTCCCAGTTGCCACCCAGTCCCTGATGACCACAACTGGCAGAATCCCAGACCCAGTGAGCACGGCAGGACCCCGATCTCTAGCCCAGCACAGGAACTCAGCTGCACACAGGTCTGCCTGCCTGCAGCCACACAAGCGGAGACTCATCTTGGCAAGTGGCATCTCAAGGGAGATACAGCAAAGTGGCCTCCACCCATCATGCTCAATCCTTCCTTCAGACCTGAATGGGTGGGGGTCTTTGTCCCTTCCTCCCCACAAACACCCCCCACCGTTGTGTTTCCTCCACCCTGCACTCCATACCCATCCTTCTGAAAACCCTGTGGCTGCTGCTCCACAGGAGGGTCCCCTGGGCCTTGGCAGGTACAGCCCCTCCAGAACACCACCCACTCTCTTTTTCCTCTGAGATGTTTGTTCTGGTCCCCAAGCTGGGCTGGGCTTCCAGCATGTCTCCTCTGCTGGAGGGAAGGCTCCCAGAGCAAGCCCTGCCTGCATGGGCTCAGTGTGGCA